CTGAGACTTTGCTGAAGTTGCTTATCAGTTTCAGGAGCTTTTGGGCTGAGAGATGGGGTCTTCTAGATATACAATCATGTCATCTGCAAATAGAGACAATTTGACTTCCTCCTTTCGTATGGCTTAAGCATATTCTTATCCATGCACAAAAACTGTTAAAACTACAGAAATTGACTTTTTAAAAACATTTTATTTCTAGGTTTAAATAAGCTACCAATTGGAGATAATGCTAATTCCCACCATGGTATAAATTAAAGACTCTGGAAATTGGCAGTGCTTTCAGCGTCTGTAAGTTCATACCATAACTCCTAGGTAATTTTTTTTTTTTTTGAGACGTAGTCTTGCTCTGTCACCCAGGCTGGAGTGCAGTGGTGCGTTCTCGGCTCACTGCAACCTCTGCCTCCCAGGTTCAGGCGATTCTCCTCCTTCAGCCTCCCGAGTAGCTGGGATTACTGATGTGTGCCACCATGCCGAGCTAATATTTGTATTTTTAGTGGATACGGGGTTTCACCATGTTGACCAGGCTGGTCTCGAGCTCCTGACCTCAAGTGATCCAACCACCTTGGTCTCCCAAAGTGCTGGGATTACAAGTGTGAGCGACTACGCTTTCCAGGACTGAATTCTTGTAAGTCATACAGGACACTCCTCAAAAGAGAAGTCTGCTTTCATCACCTCTGAAATTGTTTGCTGTAGTGAGTAAATATTCAGTAAGAGAAAAATAAGGCATTTTCTTATCATGTTTAGTTTCTCTTTTTTACCTTACTTTTGCTTAAAGACTCCTGCTATAACTCAGATTAGAAATTGAGTCTCCTGGAACAACAAAAAAAATTTTTTTGAAAGGAAGTCTCACTCTGTTACCCAGGCTGGAGTGCAGTGGCATAATCTCAGCTTATCGCAACTTCTGCCACCCAGTTTCAAGCAATCCCCTCACCTCAGCCTCCCGAGTAGCTGAGGTTACAGGTGCATGCCACCATGCCTGGCTAATCTTTTGTATTTTTAGTAGAGACGGGGTCTCAGCATGTTGGCCATGTGATCCACCTACCTTGGCCTCCCAAAGTGCTGGGATTACAGGCGTGAGCCACCACACCCAGCCCCAGGAACAAATATTTAAGAGCACTGATCAGAAATGTACCTAGTAAGTAGAGAGCCATAGCAAGAAACGGAATCAGGGTTTCAAGTGCCCTAACACAACAGAAGTGAACAATTTAATGGAAGTAAGCTACTTAACAGAAGACCCTTGGTTCAAGGCGGAGGATTATAAATAGAATACTGATTTGTATGCTATTTCATTTGCTAACTACTTTTAATCACAGAATATGTATTTCTTATTTTTGATCATACTATTCCTAAGGCAGGCAGTGCCATGCAGCCTTTACCAGTGGTCTAGGAAGCCTGAAGAAGAAGAGCTTCCTCCTAACACCTCAAAGACAGCCCCTCCTTCCTTACCTACTGAGCTCCTCACTGCCCTGCACCCTTGCCTGCCCAGGGCTTCTCACTCACCTGGACAAAGGTCCAGAAGATGTTTGCTCTCCTCTCTCCAAGGTTCGTCCCCTCGCTCCAGCTGTGTGATGAGCTTTGGTTTGGAAAATGCAATTCCTACTCACAGAAGAAAAAAAGGTGAACTTGAGTTAGTGGCTTAGGAGGCTATCTCAAAACTCAGAGCCAACCCATGAATACAATAAGCCCAGAAGGCGGTAGGGAGTTGCAGAGGTGGAGTAAACAATGTCAGAATGCTGAGAAAGGATGAACAGAGGGAGGGGATCTAGATCTAAAGGCAATATACTGATTCTACCCTGTGCTGGAGTCAATCAATCAAAGTATTCCTCCATTTAAAGGAAGATAACCTTAGAGGAGGAGACCAGCCAGGGTAAACAGGCCTGAAAATGCAGTGTCAGACATACCACATACACGCAACACACACACACACACACACAACTTCACTATAAAAGCTGAGCATTTTCTGGGAGAATAGGGAAAAAACTATTTTTCTTTCCAAGTCAGAAGCACGGCAGCTGCTATGTAAGAGCTTAAAATGTGCACAAGCAGAATCTGAAACCTTAAACAGGCCAGCCTTAACCAGCGAGACCAGATGGCTAACTTACCCAGCATCACTTCCCTATACAGGGTCCTCTGAGCAGAACTCAATAGCTTCCACTCCTTCTGGGTGAAGGCCACAGCCACATCCCAGAAGCCCATCAGTGCCTGTAACACAAACACATCCCTGCTCACTCAAGAGCCAGCCAGGCTCACTAACCAACTTAAGCCGCTAGTCAAGGCAGAAAGAAGGCAGTCCTGGGGCACCCAAGTGAGACTGTTGGATCCTGCTTTTAACCTGAAACCTGGTTCCATATGTTCAAGACTATTAATCCCCTCCATACATTGATGCTGGTTTTATTTCTGGGCTCTCTGTTCTACTGATCAAACACACAGGTTTGATCACTGCAGCTAAACAGCAGGACTTGAAATCAGGTAAACCAACTCCTCTCACTTCATTCTTCATGCTAAAAGTTGATTTAGCTATTCTAAAATAGCCTGTGCCTTTCTATGCATATTTTAGAATAATCTTGTCTATATCTCCAAAGCTCTTGCTGAAATTTTGCTAGGATTCCACTAAACCTGTATATCAATTTGGTGAGAACTTACATCTTTACTATGTTGAATCCTCAAATCCATGAACACGGCATGTCTTCTCCATTTATTTAGACAGTATACGATTTCTTTCATCAGCATTTTGTGAGTCTCAGCAAACAGACTCTACATGTTTTGTTAGATTTACACCTAAGAATTTCTTCAGCTTTCTTCTTTTCTTAGTAATTTTAATGGTACTGTATTTTAACTTCAGTGACCATATGTTCATGCTATGACGTGATACAATTGTCTGTTTTATCTTGTATACAGCAACCTGACTAAACTTACTTAGCTTTAAAAGCTTTTCTTCCCTTCATTCTTGAGATTTTCTTCATAGACAATCATGTTCTCTGCAAATAGGAACAGTTTCATTTCTTTGTTAATGATCTGTATGTCTTTTATTTCCTTTTCTTGCCTTATTACTATGGTTAGAACTTACAGCACTATGTTGAATGAGAGTGGTAAGAACAGATAAACCTTGGTTTGTTCCCAATAGTGGAAAGAAAGCAGTCTTTCACCATTAAAAATACTGTTCCATAGACAAGAATCAGAGCAGATGCAAATTTTTTCTTTTTTTTCCCCTCCCACCCCTTAAAAACAATTTTTAATTAAAATTAAATTAAATAAAAAATACCGTTTCAAACATTAAAATAGCTACAACCAGAAAAAAGGAAAACATATTTTTGTGGGGTATGGAGAAATTGGAAACTTGCACACTGCTGATGGGAATATAAAACGGTACAGTTTCTACAAAAAACAGCTTGGCAGTTCCTCAAAAACTTAAACATGTAATTACCATCTGATCTAGCAATTCCACTCCTAGGTATATACCCCCCAAACTTGAAAGTAGGGACTCAAACAGATACTTGGATACCAATGTTCATAGCAGCACTGTTTACACTAGCTGGAAACAACCTGAATATTTATCAACTGAATGAATAAAGAAAATGTGAATAAAGATGAATAAAGAAAGAAAATGTGGTATACACACAGAATGAAATATTTTTCAGCCTTAAAAAGGAGGGACATTCTGATGGATGTTTTTAGGAGCTAAGCCTTGAAAATAGCCAAGTGATATAAGCCAGTCACAAAAGGACAAATATTGTCTGATTCCATTTATGTAAAGTACCTAAAACCGGCAAATTCATACAGACAAAGTAAAACAGAGGTTACCAGGGGCTGGGAGGAGTGGGGATGGGGAGTTATTGTTTAATGGATACACAATTTCTATTTGGGATGATGAAAAACTTCTGGAAAGTGGTGATGGTTATACACCAGTGTGAACGTACTTAATGCCACTGAATTGTGAAAGTTTATAAAACAGTCAATTTTGTGTTATGTATTATTACCAAATTTTTTTTTCAAGAACTGAATGGCGATGTATTTTAAACACTCATATTTTGTTTCTTCTCTCATGTTTCTCCCTTTGCGTGTTTCTTTTCCACAATTCTATGCCACTGTCCATCAGACCCCGGCACCTGCCGCCACCACGTTTCAGACGATCATATGGGGAAGCCGTTTCAGTCACAGTCACAGGAAGGCTGGCCACAGGACACAACAGAGCAAGGCTTTAAAAATTACTCAAAAGGGGAAGAAAACCCTTGAAAGCCTCAGGCCCACCCTCCCGTCCCCAAGGAAGATGCCCCTGGCGGCGGTTTCCTCTCAAGCCTCGCCGCTGTCACAGGGGCCCTCTCCTTTGCCATCGTCTGCCCTGGCATCTCTCGGAGGAAGCTTTCACATCAATCTCTAGAAGCAGAAACAAAACAGTCCCAGCCCTCCCCCCGCCACATCCAAGTATACACGAGGGATAAAATTACATTTGTACAAAAATAGATTTTTTTTTTTTTACCTTTCCAGAAGCTTTAGACATTTTCTCCTATCGTTACTCTCTTATGTATCCGTCATCCTCTCTAAAGTATTAGCTATGCGTCCCAGCTAAGGCATTGCTAAGGATTGGGAACGGCTAAAGCTGTCTGCTCCAAAGCATCTTAAAACAGATGCATCTCCTGCCTTGAGATATTCATTCGAATCCGGATTTCACCAAAGGAGGGCCTTTATGTACTTGCTTACACTAAGCAAATTTATAGGAAAACAGGGGAAACGTCTTGATTAAAAATAAACACGAAACATTGGTAACTGCTCCGCCTCTCCGTGGCCCTGGTGCGCGGCTCTCTCCACACACGTCTGCACAGCACATACATGTTTACACCATACACCTGCGTGGATGGGCACCAGGTCACACACCCTGACCACAGCGGGGACATCAGCCGGCCACCCACAGGATGCACATGCCGGCCAGGCCCTCCTGGGTGCCCCACAGGGAAAGGTTTAGGGTCTTTGCCAGCAGGCTGCCGGCCCAGAATTCTTGGGGAACACCGTGACTTGGAACACCGAAGGTCAAGGCTATCTTTCCCAGAGCCCGTGTGCTTCCAGGCTGACACAGGCCCTAGGGTGGAGGGGCCCAGCAGGCCAGCTTCCAAACACACCTGACGAAGCCTAGGGTGGCCTGGCTCTGCGGCATCTTCACGCCTCAGCCTCAGGAGCCCCATCGGAAGGCAAAGCAAGGAGGTGACCAGCTGAGGAACATGCCTGAAGGCGCCGGGGTGCCCTGGTGGCCCAGGAAGCAGCCACTGCGAAGGGGGGCCCAGGGGGAAGCCGCTTCATCCAGCCGGGCCAAGCTGGGAACAGGCCCAGGTGGCTAATGAGCTGATGTTAGTGCTATCTTTAGAAAAGACCCGTGGGGTGTGGCAGGGTGTCCCGAGAGCCTGGTGGGGAAGCACCTGGCTGGGCTCACTGTAGTTCTTGCCACTCAGGCTGCTGCCTCAGGAAAGCCACAGCCCTGGGCCACAGACAAGTAGTAACAGAAATAAGGAGGTGACAACACATCTCTTAGGCAGAGCAGTTGCAGGCTGTGCCCCAAAGTCCAAAGAGGCCAGCCAGAGAAGGGCAGGGACAGGGCGCAGGCTGAGAAGAGCAGCTGCATCCAGGTGGGGTGGCCGGACCCGACAGGCTCGAAGGATGGGCCCGCAGGACTGTCATTTGGTGTGGGGCTTCCAGCATCTCCATGAGGAAGGTGTTGATGGGAGGTCCCCAATGAGCTTGAAGAAGAAGAGATGTTCCAGGCACTTGAGCCCAATGGAGCGCAGAGCCGGCAGGCGGAGCAAAAGCTTGGCAAACCTGCCTGCAGCAGGATGACCTGGTCGTCCAGGGGCAGCTCTGAGAAGTGCGGGATGCGCATGGCCCACTCCACCAGGGTGAAGAGCTGCTTATCGGCTGCTTGGCAGATGTTGGTGAAGGGGTGGTTCGGCCAGCTGGGGTTCAGCCCCACGTTGGCCTCCACATAGGTCTCGGTCTTGGGCTCCACAGCCAGCTCGGCCTCCAGGATTCTCTCCACCGGCATGTCCTCGTTGGCGCTGCTGGTTGACTCCACCTCATTCTCGTCCTTGCCACGCTGCCGCTCCTCCTGCACGGCTTCCTGCTTCATGCCCATGGCCAGGCACTTCTGGTAGCCGCAGTACTGGCACCGGTTCCGCTGCCGCTTGTCAATCATGCAGTCCTTGTTGTTGCGGCAGGTGTAGGTCAGGTCCTTGCGCACCGTCCGCTTGAAGAAGCCCTTGCAGCCCTCACAGCTGTACACGCCGTAGTGCTTGCCTTAGGAGCGGTCCCCGCAGATGGCGCAGATGTGCTTGGTGAAGGATGCCATGTTTCCTGAGGGGCGGGCGGGGACCTTGAGGACGCCACTGAGGCCCAAGGGAGGCTTGATGTCCTCGCTGCTGCTGACGGGGTTCATGGGTGAGCTGAGCTGGGGGCTGCCAGTGCTGAAGCCTAGGGTGGGTGTGGCAGGCACCGACATGGAGTGCGGGCCCATGGGGGAGCTGATGATGGAGAAGGGCGGGCCCATGCCATTGATGGGGGAGCTCAGGGTGCTCATGGGGGAGTGCAGCTGCCGTGGGGACCCGATGCCAGGCCCCAGGGACGGGTGCAGCGAGGGCACGGCCATGGAGCCTCGGCCTGTCGGGGAGGTGAGGGACGAGTTCACCTGGGTGGAGAAATCGAGCGGGAGGAAATGTTTGGTGTCCATGTCTGCCACTAACTCATGCCCGGCCGGCGGTGCAGGCAGCGGGCAGCGGCCGCAGCGCTGCGAGTTGTTGCAAAAGTCGCGCAACAATGTAAACTACTTGTGTCTGCGCGCCGCAGCCGCCGTGCGCGCCTGGCCTACCAAATTTTAAAAAGAATGTTAGCTGTAGATTTTTAGAAGATTCTCCTTTGTTCCTATTGTACTGAGAGTCTGTTTACAAATGGTTGTTGAATTCTGCCAAACTCATTGCATTAACTGATATAATCATGATTTTTCTTCTTTGGCCTACTGATATGACCAACATTACATGACTTAAATTAAAAAAAAAAATTTTAACTAAATAAAGTTTTGCTTTATGTTGTTTTATGGCCTAGAATATGTCTATCTTTGTATATGTTTCCAAAGGCACATGAAAAGAGTATGTATTCTGTTATTGGCTGGAATGTCTGCCATTTAAGTTTCATTTCTGCTTGTTCTCTGGGCTTTTTACCTCTGTTTCTTTTCTTTTTTATCCTTTGATTTCTCATTAAACAATATAATACCTCTTTGTTTAATTTACAACCTTCTCATGGGTTACTCAAACCTTTTTTTTTTTTAGACAGAGTCTCCCTCTTGTAGTCCAGGCTGGAGTGCAATGGCACAATCTTGGCTCACCGCAACCTCCACTTCCCGCGTTCAAGTGATTCTCCTGGCTCAGCCTCCCCAGTAGCTGAGATGACAGGCATGTGCCACCATGTCCCACTAATTTTTTTTTTTGTGTGTATTTTCAGTAGAGACAGGGGTGTCTCTATGTTAGTCAGGCTGGTCTTGAACTCCCAACCTCAGGTGATCTGCCCGCCTTGGCCTCTCAAAGTGCTGGGACTACAAGCGTGAGCCACCACTCCTGGCCCAAACTTACTTTTTTATAATTCTGTCTTGATTTGCATAAAGTGTTTCTTAGGATATTTCACTGTATAGTTTGTTTGTTTGTTTGTTTTAAGAGAAAGAATCTTGCTCTGTTGTCCAGGCTGGAGTGCAATGGCACCATCTTGGCTCACTGCATCCTCGGCCTCCTGGGTTCAAGCAATTCTTGTGCCTCAGCCTCCTGAGTAGCTGGGATTACAGGCTCTCGCTACCACACTTGGATAATTTTTGTATTTTTAGTAGAGACAGGGTTTCGTCATGTTGGCCAGGCTGCTCTTGAACTTCTGACCTCAGGTGATCCACCTCCCTCAGCCTCCCAAAGTACTGAAATTACAGGCATGAGCCACTGCGCCTGGCCATTGTATAGCTTTTTAAGTGGTTGCTCTAGGTGCTACATTACATACATATAGCTTATCATAATTTACTAGTGTCTCATTTCACCAGTTTGCTTTTTTGGTGTTTTTTTGAGACAGGGTCTCACTTTGACACCTAGGCTTAAGTGCAGCAGCATGATCACAGCTCACTGTAGCCTCAATCTCCCAGTCTAAAGCAATCCTTCCATCTCAGCCTCCCAAGTTGCTGGGACCACAGGTGTACATTGCCACACATGGCTAATTTTTTTTTTTTCTTTTTTTTAAGAGAGCGTCTTACTATGTTGCCCAGGTTGGTCTCAAACTCCTGAGCTCAAGTGATCCTCCTCATAAAGTGCTGGCATTACAGGGTAAGCCACCATGCCTGGCCCACACATGACAAACACTTCCTAAAGGCCCACCTCTTAATATTATCACATTGGTGATTAAATTTCAACAGATGAATTTTGGGAGACACATTCATACCACAGCAGAGGACTCCAGTGTTTTGTAAATATGAGATCATGCTTTCAGTGAAGAGATCATTTTATTTCTTCCTAATTTGGATGCCTTTTCTTTTTGTTGCCTAATTACTCTGGCTAAAGCTGTCAGTATTATGAAATAGAAGGGGTAAAAGTGGGCATCCTTGCTTTGTTCCTGTTCCTAGGGGAAACGGTTTTAGTCTTTCACCATTAAGAATGATTCTAGTTGTGAATTTTTCATACATGGCCCTTATCATGTTAAGGGAGTTTTCTTCCATACCTAGTTTACAGGTTTTTTTTTTTTTTTTTTATCATGAAAGGGTGGTCAATTCTGTCAAATGCTTTTCTACATCAAATAAGATGATCATGGGGTTTTTATCCTATTTCATCAATGTGGTATATTACATTACTGATTTTCATTTGTTGAACTATCCTTTCATTCTGGGAGTAAATCCCACTTGGTCATAATATAATCCTTTGTTACATTATACTCTGCACTTTAATATAGTGCTGAATCCAATTTGAGAATATTTCTGGTAAGGACTGTTTTATCTATATTCTTAAAGGATATCTGGCTTATAGTCCTCTTTTCTTGTAGTATCTTTTTGGTATCAGTGTTACGCTGTCCTCATAGAGTAAGTTAGGAAGTATATTCTCTTCAATGTTTTAGAAGAGTCTGAGAAAGATTTATGTTAACTCTTCTTTATATGTTTGGTGGAATTAACAAGCAGAACCATCTGCTCATGGGCTTTTTTTTCTTGGGAGGATTTTTTTTTTTTCTTGAGACAGAGTCTCACTCTGTTGCCAAAGCTGGAGTGCAATGGCATGATCTCAGCTCACTGCAACCTCCAGCTCCCAGGTTGAAATGATTCTCCTCTCTCAGCCTCCCAAGTAGCGGGAATTACAGGCACCTGCCACCATGCCTGGCTAATTTTTGTATTTTTAGTAGAGATGAGATTTTGCCATCTTGGCCAGGCTGGTCTCAAACTCCTGACCTCAAGTTATCCACCCATCTTGGCCTCCCAAAGCACTGGGGTTACAGGTGTGAGCTACCATACCCAGCCTTTGGGAGGATTTTTATTACTAATTCAATATACTTACTAGTTATAGATTTATTTATTTATTTATTTATTTAAAGAGTCTCGCTCTGTCGCCCAGGCTGGAGTGCAGTGACGTGATCTCGGCTCACCGCAGCTCTAGCTCCTGGGTTCAAGGGATACTCTTGCCTTAGCCTCCTGAGTAGCTGGGATTACAGGGACACACCACTATGCCCAGCTAATTTTTGTATTTTTAGTAGAGACAGGGTTTCACCCTGTTGGTCAGGCTGGTCTCCAACTCCTGACCTCGTGACCTGCCCACCTTGGCCTCCCAAAGCACTGGGATTACAGGCGTGAGCCATGCACCCACCCCTCCATCAGTTTTAATAAGCTGTATGTTTTTAGAAATTTGTACACTTCACTTGGTTAGCAAATTTAATGGTATACTTTTGTTCATATATTACTTTAAAATCCTTATTTCCTTAAAATTGGCAGTAATAGCTCCAATTTCATTTTTGAGTTTAGTTATTTGAGTCTTCTGTTTTGGTTAGATAACCTAGCTAAAGGTTTATGCATTTTGTTCTTTTTAAGTAACTTTTAGTTCCACTGATTTTCTCTGTTGTCTTTTCTCCCTTATTCACCTTTGCTCTGTCCTTTATTGTTTTCTTCCTTCTGCTACCTTCAGTTTAGTTTTTTTCTAGTTCCATACTGTGTATAATAAAGTTACTGATTGGAACCATACATTTTCCACTTAGCACTGCTTTTCCTGTATTGCATAAGTTTTAGTGGGTTGTTTTCAGTTCCATTCATCTCAAGGTATATTCTACTTTCCCTTGATTTTCTCCTTGATCCATTCATTGTTTATATGTTCTTTAATTTCCACGTATTCACTAATTTTCTAGGATTCCTTTTTAGTTTCATTCCATTATGATCAGAAAGAGACTTCATATTATTTAAATCATTTCTAATACATTAAGACTTATTTTGTGGCCTAACATATGGCCTATCCTAGAGAAAGTTCCATGTGTGCTTCAGTAGAATGTGCATTCTGCGCTTGTCGGGTGAAATGTTCTGTATACAGATGCTCCTCAACTTACAATGGGATTACATCCTGATAAACTCATTGCAAGTCGAAAGGTTGTTGTTGGGGACCATCTGTATATCAGTTAAGCACAATTGGTTTACAGTGTAAATCCTATATATATATTTTTATTTTTTGTATATTCGTCTCTGAATACCACTATATTTTCTTATTGACTTCTTATATGGTTGTTCTAGCTGTTGTTGAAAGTGATGTATTAAAGTTTCCAATCGTTCTTATAAAACTATTTTTCTCTTCAATTATGTCAATTTTTACTTCACATATTTTGAAGCTATGTTGCTAGGTGTATGCTTATAATTCTATCTTCTTTCAGTAGTGAATAATTTCATTAGCCCATGATGTCCTCTTAATCTCATATAACCTTTTGTGATTTGAAGTCTATTTTGTCTTGCAATGATATAGTCACCACAGCTTTTGGTTATTGTTTGCATAAATTATCTTTTTTCTATCCTTTTACTTTCAACCTCTCTGCTTCCTGTTATCTACAGTGAGTCTCTTGTACACAGTACACAGGTGATTTTTAGTTTCATTTCTACTCCAGTCTGCCAATCCATGCATATGCTTTGGGTTTAATCCATCTATACTACACTGATAAGGAAGGATTTACTTTTGCCATTTAGCCATAATACCAACTTTGTTTCAACAGTACACAAACATTATGCTCCTATATCTTTCCATCCCTCCCTTCTATGTTGTAATTGTTACATATTACATCTTTATGTATTATATGCCTATTAACATAGATTTATGATTTTTATGCACGTGTTAATTTTAGCTATGAAGTTACCTTTACTAG